ACCTGTCCCATCCGCACTTTCCCACAGGTATGACCCTTTTACGTCTTTTCACTTGCGGACCATAAGAGAGCCAGCAGCAGTGACCTTGGTCTCCATAGGAATCAGTATAAACATGGGCCTTTCGGCATACCAATCCTACCATGACTTTAGTAACAACTATAAACATCAAGCATTATCAATTCTGAAAGCAGACACTGTCTGAAAACACATAGCCAACTTCAGAAAGTGCAGTTCCTTAGAAGAAACTTAACTGAAGGAAAAAAAAAAAAAAATCTACTGAAAGGAGAATTGGTCCTGTTTTAGCCAAAGCAGGACATACACACTTCAGTGAGGGCATAAAGCAATCTTATTTACACGGTTGCAAATTTAGTAATTAAGCCGGAAAGACTGGCCATTTTGCAAGCAGGCATGAGGCAGAACTTTGTAATATTTAAGCTGCAGAGAATATAGAAAATATTAAATCTGTCCCATATGTCATTCCGGCTCTTAACACTATCCAAGAAAATAGAGGCCCTGGTAGAAAAGTGATCTTCCAGAACCCTGCTAGCATCCACAGAGGGAGGGAACACGGAGCTGGCCATGGAAAGGAAGCCTGTTAGCAGTCTGCACTTCCACAGTTTCAAAGTCACTATAGATAATACATCCTTCCTTACTATTGTACCACACAATTCTGATGCTAGGAATCATAGTGGCTCACAGATACCATAGGAACCCCACCTTCATAGACCAATGTTTGTAATAAACCTACCTGAAGCTGAAATTTGATTATCAAAAAGCTCTGAGATACCTACATGACGTGCAAAGTTCTGCTGCTTTTATTTTGTTTTTCCTTTTTAAACAGTAATGCCTTACCATCAGCTAGTAATATTTTACTGATAGCAAAAAAAGCTGCAGAACTTGCAGGTTCTTACATCCTTTCAGCTAGTCTTGACAAAATTTGGTACATAAGGTAAATTACTAGAATTGGCATTTTCTCCATTTTTTTTTTTTTTCCCTTCTTTCCGACCAATACATCTTCTATATTAGTTGTGGTTGTTCCATTTAAAGCCCTGGTTTCTGAACTGAAGTTACTGCATGAAGAGTAGAGCTTTCATTTAACTTCTCCCCTTCTTCAGTAACTCTGTATGTCATAGCCGGGGAGAAAAAGTGGAAATAAAACCAAAGGATACCAAGAGCTAAATAAGAACTCCAAATGCATCACTGCCTTTTGTCAGTGTCATAGCGTCTGACCTTATACATTTCAAGTTTGGCAATACTGTACTTTTATTTATGATTACCAGATCCTGGAGGTCTCCTCCCAGCTGGGAAACACATGTCCTTGTGGGCCCAGAGTTTCACACAAAGCTTTTCCTGCTCAGCAGGCTCTTGGTTTTGCTCACCATTGTACTAGCTATATTATCACCAGCTGTCCTTGCATTCAACTTCCCTGGAATCTAACCTCATTTTCAAAGTTGACAACAGCACAGATCTAGTTGATTCTCCTATCTGAAATTTTTCAAGCTTAAAAAAGATGAATAAAAGAGGCAACCTTCAGTTTGAATCTTTCGAGGAAAAGGACAGACTCTCCTGATGGTGGCCTAAGAAAGCCGAAACTTGCTTCTAGAACGTTAAGGGGTGATATGGGAAAGGTCTGCTGTAATACTCTGCATTAGTGGCAAAAGCAGTACAGTATCTGGAAATAGAAAAAAATACAGCTTTTAAATTGCTACCGTGTACACCTATGGTCATCTTTATAAAGTGGCAGGACTAGCATGCTACATAAGGCCAGGAACAAGCATATCACTTTTATGAGAATCAAGAGTTAGAAACCACTGTTCCAGAGATGAGAAAAAATCCTTGATGATATTTAAAAAAGAACCCTTTATGCACATAACTGTTTTCCAGATAGAACACGCTAAACCCTTTGTAATTGTTCAGATATAACAAATTTGGTTAAATACATTTTTGTTAGTGTGGTGTTTACAGGAGATCCCTTAGTTATCAATCCTCAAAAGCCACCATTTTCTAATGTCATACTCATGCACAAGGCATCAATCTGACTTGTCTGTGTTCAAGAGAGACCAACTTGAATATAAAAATCATGGTGATTCAAACAGCTAGCTTCAAACCTTGTGTGTATTTCGCCAAGACCTCACTTGAAGATTCAAGTAGAGTATAGGCTTAGATGAATCTCCCCAACATGACTTTACCATGCAGCACCAAAAGTCGTACCTCAAGAAGCATAGGTTGTTCCAATATGGGAATCTGTGCCCCAACTCCCCCTTCCCCCACCCTGAAAGAGTAATTTTCAGATTCCTTGGTTTCCTATGCTGCTCTCTCTGAGCACAATTGCCGAGCAGAAAGTAATGGATTAATTTCAAAGCTTCAGCCTCAGGCTTATGCTGCCAATTAACAGCAGTCTCCAGGCTCTGGGCACTGAACAGCTCAGAAAAGATTCCAGTGAAAAAGACTTATGGGAAATTCAAACAGCCAGCAAGACACATGCTGTTTGTATTTGAAGCACTAATGTGATCCATGAGAAGGGCTGAAAGAGCAAGCAGAGACTTCATTTACAAAGGGAGCAGATCATTCTGAAAACAAAATAGAAGACACATTTGCCCTTGTGCTAACTGTACCTCAAGATGCTCAACCGAACTCTTTTATCAGCCTTTTCATCAGGCAGGCTTCTTTTTACTCCTAGAATGATGTTCAGAAGTCAAGATTTGCAAGACCTCATTTACAGATTGCTAGCAAATCTCAAATCTGCAAAGAAAGATTTTACAGTAAAGTAGAAATTTTGCCAGAGTTGTTTGCAATAATTTATGTAGCCAATACATTAAATACTCCCATTATTATAAAACTAACTGGAATGAAGACATTTCTGTAACATTCAGTTTTCTGACTATTAGACATAGAACCCGTCTGTATAAGAACCGGTGATTATTAGGTATTTGGAATTATGTCCACCATCTTCCTTATTCCACGCAGAAGATTGTTGTTCAATTACAGTATTTCAAAAAGTAATTACACTAGTAAAATGGGAAGAAAAAAAAAAAAGAAAAATGAAAAGTGTGGCAGCAGAGGCACTTCTGGGTGTTAAGCAGATTTGGGAAATAATCTGAGCACGTCCTGCCTCAGACAAAGTAGCTTGGGACAAGAAGCTATGCTTTGTTTTAGTTCTATGACTATAAAGCTCTTGTGCTGCAGCATGGACCCAGGATTTAAGTCTCCATATATGAAGTGATCAATACTAAAGATGACAATCAACAATCCAAACAATGCAACACTTACATTCTTGTGATCAATTGATTCTGCAGCCTTTGTTATTTCATCCAGACATTTTCCAATGATAGGGATCACTTGGCGGTCAACCTCTGCAAAAGTTTTCATGGATTCACCTATCCTCACAATTCTTCTTTCCTCCATCTCTTGTATTTTCTAAAACATTAAATTTAATTAAGATCAAATATCAAGATTAACTTCACAGTTTCAACAAATTTTTCTCCCCAGCATCCATCAAGCTGCTGTAAAATTTTTGTTTTTAATATATGTTTAAGAACAAACTAGGACAGCTATTCTCATGAAGGCACCAAGTGATACTGGTCACTCAAACATCAAAATGCCATTCTAAAAGTAATCTGTTACTATTACTGGGAATTTTTCAATTAATTTTTTATGTTAAAATGCTGATTTGTCAAACCCCCAGTTTTAGACTTTCGTAAGCGTGGTTCCTAAGGTTTTTAAAACAATAATAAATTGCAACAATAAATGATTTCATTTTCTGCACGTGTTCTGAAAAATCTTACTTTCATTCCACTGCAGAATCCAAACAAACAAAAATCTTGATGTCTCCTCTTCTCTTTTTCCCTAGAAGGTAATTTCTGCTTGACAGGCAGTCCTATACATCATATATTGTTCACACCAGGGCTTCTCAACATATGCTCCCTGTTGCTCAATGGATTCACTGCCACGATCTCCAGCATCTATTCCATGAGCCTCTTGTTTATTACAGAGGGAAACTGGATGTGGCATAACACTATTATGAGAGATTATAACAGGATACAGAAGGGCATGAACAGGATCAGCCTGTTTCACATTAGACTGCAGGAACCTTATGGAGCATTGTCAACTTAAAAATCCCCATTGCCTTAACTGATCCACAAGCAACACAAATTCTTTACAAAACAACTTATTTCAACATCTGAAAGAAAGCACTAGAACTTACTGCTGCACTGGTAGTGAAAAGGATACAACTGTGGTACTTCAACCCTGTTCACCTACAAATCAGAGCACTTAACAGATCTGGCATTAAATTTTTGCAATATATTTGTATTTATATCTGATGCCAGGGATCATTTATCTCAAAGAAATATTGGTTTGAAATACCATGAAGCAAAAGTGGAGGTGTCCATTTACCTAAGAAGTTCCAGTGCTGGATAAAAAAAATGCAAATTTGCAACACAAATATCAGTTGTTTCTCATCAGATAAGCACGTGACATTTCCTCCCTTAAAGTGGCTGTATTTTCCACTTCTGATGCTTATGACCCATTACAATGGAACAGTCATTTAGAACTTCTGTTCTACTACATTAATCGCTCTTCGTTCAGTCAAGCACAAACTCAGATCTTCAGTCAGTATAAATCTGATGGCTTTTCTGTTTTTTTCTCTACAGTCTTTCTTTAGGCACCCTAAGACATAATCAGTAAGCTTGCTTAAACCCTATGACATTCACTACTGCAGAATTATTGTGGTTTCAATTTAAACATCTGTGAAGCCTGATTTGAAGACAGGTTATAAAGGGCTGTGAGGCTTTACAGATGTAACGATGCCCAGCTGATTCCTGCCCCAACAATGCAAATAATACACTCATTCCCCAGCTGCATGGACACAAGAGTTTAACAGAGCAACACTGTGAGGATTCCAAAGACTATCGTAATCTGTAATGACAATTCAATGTCACCTTCCTCATATATTATTGATCACTTGATATCTAGTCTAAGAGAAAGGGACAGTTTATGATACCAAGTTCTCCCATCTCTTGGGTTGGGAGGCTGCACATAAAGTTTGCTAACAGTGACAAAAATCACCAAAAAGGAAAAGACAGGGTCACAGAATTTAGGAGATGCGCAATATGCCGCCCCTCTATTCTTATCGCAAGATTACGAGCAACTCTAGATCAGTGCCAGTGACCCTTACCTGGAAGATGTTTGGTATGTGTGTGTAGTAATGATCATGCTGCTCACTGTTAAACTTCTGTAGAGTGGAAGAATATTCTGCTTTGCTGTCTTCTGCCATTTGATGTCGTAGCTGGGCTTGCTGTCTTGCCTAAAGAAATGCCAAAAGAAATTTACAATTTATACAACGTGGAAAGAAATTGCATTGTCTTACTCCTCATCTTACTATCCTTACCAGTAGGCAGCACAGGAGCATTAGCACATGGGTCTCTGAACACTTCAGCTTTTGGTTTACTCCTATTTTGTAAAACAGTTCATCTACATCGAGCATAAGCCTGCAGCGTGCACACTGCTGCTGCTTTTTTCTTGTGTTACAACATACTATTTCCATGAAGTATTCTGCATTCCATGAACAACCTCTGTTCATACTGCATGTAAAACACTGAAACAAGTTTGCCCCTCTACTAGCCCACTTAACAGGCATGCACATTTTCTGTATGCTTGTGGGCACTCTTCTTGCTCGACCGTATGCCCTGTTGGAGGGCACCTGCTTTTCTCTAATGAACTACTTACCTGTTGGATAGTAGTATTTTTGGGGGAAAGGGAAGTGACAAAAAAACACCAACACAGTTTTGTCTTATTTCACATGCCTTAGCCAACATAACCATGACAAAGATCTTCACTTGTGCTCCCACTGTGCTCTCTGCAAAGTCCTTTATCTACACTTCCACGAATAGCGCTGGCATGAAGTGCACAAGGGAAGAGGAGCCTGAGTAGCAGCTGAGACACAACTCCCTTCCTATTTTTACCCACACAGATGATGTGCTTTGCTACCCAGCATAGCAGAGCATTGGCCAATTAACTCCCTAGAACAATCTGTCCCCAAGTGACCCTTTTATATTTTCAGATTCCTCCCCTTATGATTCTGCTTCCCCAGGCCTTCTGTTATCTGTTTCACTGCCCAATGTTATTCCCCTACTGCCTACCCCATCTGTCTGAGTTGCCTTTTCCTTCCTTGCTATTGGCCTTCATACAGCAACTCTTCCTTCTCTTCCCTTCCTACCCAGCTCCCTACACCCATACGCCTTCACTCCCTGTCCGGTGTCCACCTGTTGAATCCCCCCTCTCTCCCGCTTCACTCTGCTGCCCACCCAGCCCCTCTCCACCTTGCCCAGAGCTGCGGACCAAACGCTTGCTCCAGTGAGAGCTCAGCCATCGACTGGAGTTGAGTCCAGGACTTGGCTTTGCAAATCTAAACTATCCTGAGTTTGCACTCATTTTTCAGGCGCTCACAGAGCCTCCTCACCCTCCGTTGCCGACTGAGCCTTGAACAGTCCTGTGAGTGTCCAGAAAGTGTTATGTTCCAAACACTTCCTCAATTTCATAATAACCCCTTTAAGAGGGGAAAAAAAAAAAAAAAAATAGAGAAAGACTGCTTTAAAAATTATTTAAAGCACTTTGGGGTGTTTCAGGGAAACCAACGCAACAAATAATTTTAGCATATTTTAAGTGGGCTCCCATTAAAAGCAGTTGAGAACGGGGCTATTCTTTGAACTGTTCCAAGCAGACAATAGTTTCCTGACAATGAATCCATGAAATACCAAATCACGGAACATTTTAGTAATCATAACTGGAAGGTAACAAATTCTGCCAGAAGGTTTCAAATCTCAGTCTGCAAAGAAATAGGCTTCCCTCCCATTTGTTCAACTCGCACATCTCACCTAATCATTTATTTCACCTCAATCCAGCTATTTCTTTTGCAAGCACAGTCAATTGTAGGAATTTCCTAGATTCCCTTCACATTCTTTCTACAAAAATAATTCAAGCACAATAAGAAAATGCTGGGCACTGAGCACATAATAGGAGATGAAACAGTGGCATTAAATGGAAAAGACTGCGACTATAACCAAATAAATAAATCCAATGAAAGATAATGACTTTCAACTTTGTTTGTTCCCTAGGAGTTTTAACTGCCCACTAACTCCTGTAAAGGATGCATATATAAATCAGAAAATCTACCCACTGCAATGAAATTCCGAGAAACCATATCAATCAGTTTTCTGGCCAAGCGCTATATAGCTTATTAAACTTTATCATCCACACCATCATATATCACTACATTAAATATGAGTGGAAAACAATATAGCCTTGTATTACAAACACAAATTTACCAGCAAAACAGAGTCAGCCATGGAAAGGCGGACAGCTGTAAGAGTCATGTACGCTTGTCTCCCAACCCCTTCCTCAAGTCCCAGCTGCTACAGATCAATATCCATTTGTGAGGCCCATTCTCTTCATCTACCTAAGAGCAACCCATTGTTTGTGCTGACTTCTACAACAGCCCCAGTCCCACTCATACAGCTGTCTTTTTTTTTTTTAAAATAGCGCAACTCAGGAATTTGTCCCTTGACTCTATTGTTCAAGCAGAAAAACAAGAAATCCATTATTACACATTTCCAGGCTGATCCAGCAAACATTAAGCCAGAGTTCATTTTCATGAGCAAGTTCATTGGTTGGATATGAGCAAAGTAACTCTGAGCTAAATGTATACAGGAGTAGATGCTCCATTTCCAAAATGATCTTAAATGGCCCCAAATAAAGAGGAGGCAGCAGATGAGTAAGTAATATTGGGTACATTCCAAAACCAAGAATTTCTGTATGAGAGCCTCAGTGATGTTTTGTTTCTCCTGGCTATTTAATGCATTTGGCAAGCCTCAAACAGTTCAAATATTTTTCCAATGAGGTATTTGGATCTTAAAATAAAATTAAAAAAAAAATCTAGATTTTTTTTTTTTATTATTACTTCATTTGAGTATGTCACTTACTCTAACATCATCACTTCTAGTATTAACAGAATTATGTTTTATAGCTAGGTTCCTGCACTCTGCGGAAGCCCAGAATGATAAAAATGAGTTGATGACATTAAGTTTCACGTTCAGAATAATGGCTGCAGTGGCCTGGAGCTGCACAGAGTCACAGGAGCTATTTCAAGAGTAATTTATAGTTGAGCTTTACAGAAAATAAATTTTTGCCTTCTTTACTACTCACTTGTGCAGGCAAACAGCTTTAGAGAAGGTATTTTTTGGGGCTGCTTAGAGTTAGAGTATTTGCTCTGAACAGTATTTTCAGGACAAAAGGCTTTGGAATAATTGTCTCTGGAAAACCAGACCATGACTTCAGATATAAGAGGATGATACCGTGATGCAGCTTTCAGTCAACATACTCTCTCCTTTAACTGGGCAGGGATGACTGAGCAAGAGCTCACATTTCCAGCACCACATGTGAAACCACAATCCAGACCTTCTACAGACTGCCAGATTACTCAATTGTTAGAGATGTCAAGGCTAGGTACTTGTAATGGAACAAAAAAATCCCCTCCATTCTTGAAAGAAAGAAAGAATGAGGTCACCTTTCGGCATCAGAAAAAGCAGAAAAGGGTATATACATTCCAGAGATTTGTGGAGAGAAGAAGAAAAGCAGTTTGCTTTCAAATGCGTGCTTCTGCACACATTTGCAAAAGGTACACAGATTTTGCACTCTCCCTCTCTAGAACATACCTTTGTAACATCTTTTTGGCCCCAAATAAACATACACAGTGTATATACATCATTGCCTCCTCTCCAAAGTCTGTTTTTGTTAATGCAGTTCTTCTCTGAACTCACATGACAGCAACAAAACCAAAAGGTCACATATGCCAATGCATGTCTGAAGAAAAGCACTCCTGAGAGCGAAGGACAGCCCAGTACCTGCAGCACCATTAACCCTGCAACGAGCATATACATAAACTTCAGGTTTCCACTGCATGGCAATCAGGTTTAAACACAATCACACCAGAGGAGTGTTTTCTATAACTAACCCTGAAAGAAAACTCTAGGTAAAGCAAGTGTAGCTCTGATACACTGAACTCGTTAAAACCACACTAGCAGCAAGTAAGGCTTATTAAGTATGACCACTTCCTCAGAATCTATACAGAATTGCCAATAAACATAATCAAACCTGATCTGTTTTCCTTCCTTTAGACAGCCTTGCTAGTTGATGGGGGAGAATGCAGAGCAGTAGTTAACTGTAGGGCAGTAATAACTTTCAAAGTGTTGACTTTTAAAAGTCAGTAGAACTGTGGCTGTCCTCAGCACTTTTTAAAAAAAAATTTTAAAGAGAAAAATCAGGCCTCAACAGCACTTACCTTAGTGAAAACCACCACTAAACTCAATAGCCATATGAACTGGCACCACACACTATGGCTTCTATCTCTTCTACGAGGTAGCAGGAAAAAAAACAAATATTATTCTCTCAAGATTATTTTAACCACATTTCCTGCAGATTTTCTACCTTACCACTGAGTTGCAAACACCAGACTTTCGAACAGCATCAGAAGTTAGTTCCAGGTGTTTAAATGACTGCACCAGAAGTCCACAGATGGCAGGTTCAAGCTAAGTGACACATGCCAAGGTGGGACATTGATGGCCTAAAAATCCTTCATGAGTGAAGTACTTATGGAAATATTTCTTTCCCCTTTAAAATAAGAAATTAGAAGTTAACCCCACAGCCCTTTTACTCTGAAGCAACTCGTGTTAGGGAGAGGTATTTAGTCTGAACCTATTCATCACCTGCTTGAAAAATCCTGCAGTTTAGCAACATGATGCAATTTAAGTAATCACCACTTACCAGAATGAGACAAAAGAAGTACAGACAAGGAAAGTTCTCCATAGTCCTTGCAAACATGCAGTAATAGTAAAGCTTTATATACTGATCTGAAATCAATCCTAGTACTTTATGCCTTTGACCAGTGGTCAGAAAAGGAAAATTTAAGAGAGAAAGGGGATATGGACATCTTTATGATGGGCACTGTTGATCCTGAAGGTGTGAGAAAACATTAACAAGCTGCTATGCATTACATGCTGCCTCTTATAGAATTCAAAAAATAAATTCTTGCATAGTGTTACTTGCATATGCCTTCTGCCCCCAAAATCCAGTTCGATATGAAAGGCAACCGGTGATTAAGTGTAGGAAAAAATAAAAAAAAAGTATACTTTCTGCCATTTCGGGCTCCAATACAGAAAAGAATGAAGGATATTTTGCTGAGAACAATTTTCTAAGACACATTCCAGAAACAGCAAGAGGGTCAATAGACACACTGTCTTCTGGGTTTAC